ATCTGATTCTTTCACTTTCCACTATGCAAATCAAGTAACAATGATTATATCGGGGTAAAACTTTGCGTGAATAATGCAATTAAAGTATGCCACCTTGCGGCCAAAAATTGTCTAAATCGAACCAAAACTGTTCAAACCACTAAGTACTAAATATGTGGACCCCAGTGCCTATAGTTGACCTTCTACCGAAAATATAATATCAGTCAATCCACAAAGAAATCTCAAACGAGTATACCATTTGACTTTGCGAGAGTATAAAATGTTCGGTTACATCCGAACTTAGCCCTTCCTTACTTGTTTTCATGTGAATTTCGCCAAAAAATTTACAACAGAAGCATATACTTACATATGTAGTTTTAATGCTTGTCTGGAATATTTTGAAGACGTGTGATACGTTGCCTAACAATATTTTTTAGTTCTTCAGACAACCATAGTCTAATTTATTATTATTATGTTATCTCATCAAATCAATATTATAATTATTTAAATTTTAAATAAATAGTGCTTAATTTAAATTTAAAAATTAAAATCCAAAATTTATAAATATTTATAAACATTTCATGTTCTTATCGTGTGCTCCATGTATGTAGGTGTGTGATCACTGGCAATACATAGGTAGAGTCATTTTAATGTGAATTTCGCGAGAAATCTACAACAGAAGCATATAGTTTTATTCATTGTATAAATCTGCAAGTAACCAATCCTAAGATTTTCACTAATACACACGCAAAAATGTCCCACGTGGTACGGGTTGCCTCGAAAATTCTACTACTAAAATCACACTTGGTACGGGCTGCCTACTTATATTCTACTACTAAAGTGACACTTGGTATGGGTTGCCAACCAATATTCTACTACTAAAACGTCCAAATGACACAAATCTGCTATAGTGTGTTGCCGTGTTAAGTTTTTAAATTTATAACTTTAAGAATGATTTCATTACATATTCAAATATTTTTCGATTGTTATAATTCGTAAAGATTCCATTTACATAGTATTATTTATTGTATTGAAATATTATTTAATGTTTCCAATTTTATCAAAAATATTATTGTGATCGGTAACGCGCCAATCTTGCAACCTCAGAGGTGGCGAGGAGATGCAATAAATATATAAAACTCATTTGTATATCATTCGATAATACTCTTGAAAGTTTTCATTATTATTTCCTTTACGAATACATGTTCATAAACAAATTGTTAAACTACATCCTTTTATTTAAAAATCTGTGTCAAAAAAGGCATATTCGATCAGGTGATCACAGCTGTTTCACACACATAGGAAAACAGCTGATTCTTTGGCTACTTGTAGACTTACACAATGGTTTTAATGCTTGTCTGGAATATTTTGAAGACGTGTGATAACGTTGCCTAACAATATTTTTTGGTTCTTCAGACAACCATAGTCAAATTTATTATTGTTATGTTATCTCATCAAATCTATATTATAATTATTTAAATTTTAAATAAATAGTGCTTAATTAAAATTTAAAATTTAAAATTGATAACATATACACTCGCCAGAAAAATTATCCGTACACCTCGACATAAAACAATAAATGATAAATTTGTGATCAAATAACTTATTATGTATAAAATAGTATACAAAAGTTTTATTAATATTTTACTACACTTTCCATACGTTTTTACTTTTAGACAAACACTTAAAAAAAATTCCCAGAACAAAAAACTTACACAGTTACTAAATTCAACGGAAAAAGTATCCGTTACATATCAAAACGGGATATTTCCCTTGTAATATGGTGACAAATACATTCCCTAAGCGCTTATATTGTATTGTATAATTGATCTCGAACTTGACGGTTGACCTTAAAGTTATTATAATTTTTCATTGTGCATAAATTCGCGATGACCCCTAAAATTAAAGAAGTTAGTGCTGGCGAAGAAAAATTATTCTTAAACTCAGAAAAGAAGGAAAATCATTCCGAGAAATAGGTAAAATGATAGGAAGGACACATTCTTCGTGCAGTATGTGGTGGAAGCATTCAAAAAAACTAAGTCGATTGTGCCCAAAGCCACGCTCTGGTCGACCGAGTATATTAAACCGTTCGAGAAAAACGAACAATATTACAGTCAGTAAAAGCAAATCCTCGACTTACTGCCTCGAAAAATATGTGAACATATTAAAAATTTGTTCGACAAGGATCTCCATGAAGATACTGTACGAAATTTTTGAAGAAAGATGGTATCACCACGTGTAGCGCGTAGGAAACCCTTTATATCCAAGTAAATAGACAGAAACGTATGGATTTTGCAAACAAATATATCAGCAAGCCTCGGGAGTTTTGGGAACGTGTCTTATTCACCGACGAAAGCAAGTTTGTGCTTGCATTAAAGGAAAAAAGTTGGTGTGGCGTAAGAGTGGTACTGCACTTGATAAAGAAAATCTTTTACCCACCGTCAAACATGGCGGAGGAGGTGTGATGTATGGGGGTGTATGGCGGCAGAAGGAGTAGGCACAAACTCGTTTTTATAGATACAATAATGGATCAATTCGGCTATTTAAGTATTTTAAAAAATAATTTGAAGGAAAGTGCTCAGCAGTTGGGGCTTGGTGATGATTTTTGGTTCCAACAGGAAATGATCCAAAGCACACGGCGCCAATACCAGGCTTTGTTGCTTTATAACATAAAAAATCAATTGCGCTCCCACCTCAATCTCCAGACCTCAACCCATCGAGCATTTGTCGGATTTACTGGAGTGCAGAATCCGCCAACACACCATAACCTCCAGAGAAATGCTCAAAATGTGATCATAAATGAATGGGCGAAAATTACAAATCATGACACATCCAAACTAGTTCATTCAATACCACATCGACTTGCCGAGGTCCTAAAACGTAAGGGCTATCCTACTAGTTATTAGGATATTAAATTTTTCCAAAATAATTTAATTATATTTAATTATAATCAAAAATGTTATCAACGAATACTTTTTCTGTTTCATTATGTGAGCTTTTTTTGTTTTTGTTCTGTGAAATTTTTTTTAAAGTGTATGTCTAAAAAAAAAAACTCATGGAAAGTGTAGTAAAAATACTGAATAAAACTTTTGGATACTATTTTTATACATAATAAGTTATTTGATCACAAATTTCTCAGTTTATTGTTTTCATGTCGAGGTGTACGGATAATTTTTCTGGCGAGTGTATAATATATATAAGTTTGCCACGAAGTTTGTACCTAACACTCAGAAGGAAACGTCGGAGATCCTATAAAATATTGATATAAATGATCAACGTTACGAGCTGAGTCGATTTAGCCATGTCCGTCTATATGTTCGTATATACGCAAACTAGTCTTTAAATTTTTGAGATAATTGAGATTTGCCCAAGGCAATTATGCAATCTCCGAAGAAATAGTTTAGATCGGATCACTGTAGCACTGTCATATAAACTGAACGATCGAGATTGAGTTCTTGTATGGAAACTTTTATATTTGCAAAAGGTATTCAAGCTTCGGTGCCACCAAAGTTAACGTTTTTTCTTGTTTTTCTTATATTTTCCTCGCCTCGCTCTATCGTTGAGGTAGATCTACAAATTTTCTGTAGAATTTATGTCAAAGCTTTGTCGGGTGTTGGCAAGTGTTTTTTGTTACCTTTTTAACTTTGTACGCGAGTGATTGTCGTGCTAAAACAAAAACTCGCTTCTATACATATCAAATTTTATGCACTTGTATGCAAATGTTCTATGAAAATGAACAGCTATAAGTAGATATTTACCCATTATACTATTAATCTATTAATAAACAGTATAATTCTCCGACTCCATTAGCTGATATACAAAGGGTAGCCAAAAATTATTTTTGCCCAAAAAACAAAATATATGTGTATATATATATAAATATATTTATAATATATTGTACATATATTTTTTTTAACTAGAAAACAGAAAATATGTATTTAATCGTTGTCAGCTATTTGTATTTCATGGTTTATGCTATTTTTGACTAACTTTTATTGTCATGCACATTTTCACATTTTTGTAATGTGTATTTCACGATCTTAATTGTTTAAATAATTTTTACAGAGCTCTTGATTGCAATCGCTAGGAGAATCTTTTGAAAAGTCACCATGAACGTAAATATGGGCATATCACCTGGAAATGTTGTGATGTTCCCGTCATTGGGAGATGACGATTTAATGCCGTTATATACAAGTTTACAAAATTTATCTGAGGGCACCGCACAATTGCGTGCATCACTTTTGGCATTTCAAAACGAACAAATCATCACTAATAATAATTTTATTAATGACTACCAAGGCGGTTTGGAACCAATGGATATTCCTTCAGCGGATACATTGTCATTAACCGAACGCAAAAACGGTTTAATTGTGAACGTGGGTAACCTGCTTAGAGAATATGGTGTTATTCAAGATCAGCTGATCGGTGCATTGAAAGTTTGGCAACGGAAGCAGACATTAGCTGGCAATGGTGCACCGTTTCCAACCAATTTAGATGGTATACAGTTTGTTGTAGAGACCTTAATGGATCGCATCACAGACATTACTTTATTTATAAGTACTCTCTTGCATTTGGAAGATGAGCCAACTCTAAACGAGTTCTTGAAACATGCACAGGCCTTACATCAAATACTCATAGTTTCAACATTCATCGTCGAGAAGCAACCGCCGCAAGTGAAGAAAAAGGGGACAAAGTAAGCGGCATTTAGGTAATGCTATTAGCAATTGAATAAAAATTACATTTTATGGTACTTTCAGACTTTCGGCAACTGTGCGCTGGTTGATCGGTGATAAATTGGGCATTTACTTGAGCAAACCAGTTGTAAAATGTGAAATACTCTCAGGTAAAATTACAAAGGCGGTTTTCTACGTCATGATTCTAGTATACCATATACGCAATTAAGTACGGTTTTATCTATATTTATTTTCTTAGTATGAGAGAGATTTCGACGTAGATCTTTTAAAAGAACATATGTTCTTAAAATAATAAGAATTTATCATTATTTTGGCTAGATGAAAAGAAAAGTTCGATTGTTTTTTTGTTAAAGAAGTTTTATTTTTTTTATTCTTTAGTGACTTCGAGCAATTCTTCAATAATTTTTTTAAATTTAATTATGAGTTTAATGATTTTGACAATAGGATACATTTTTCTTCATTCTTTATCTATTTTAGTTCAATATAACGATGTTATCAGTTCGGCTGAACTTAATAAGAATATCGAAAATATAGTTATCCAATAATAAATATTGCAGCTTTATAACTTATGATATATATCAGCTTCACCGCTAAACTATCGTCGTCTTTGTTATCATAATTTCGTTTGCCAGCAAATGTTAGATACTACTCACAACGTCACAAACTGAATGAACTGTCAAACTTCCACAATAATTGTAAACAATGCATATCATGACGTCACGAACTAATGTATTTTTTCGTCAAACTCAATCGAAAAATGTAACGATTAACATTGTAATATATATAATAATTTTCGTAACCTTCATTCTATAATTTTTCTTTTTGTATATTGAAGAGCTTAACAACTTATCGATACAAATTTAAATATTTACGTATGAAATTCAAATAAAATTTCTTATTTCACAATATTTACAGAGGCTCTAGCAAAGCGACTTACAATTGAGAAGCTTCCTATGCCACCAGAGTGTAATGGTAAAATGACGGGAAATGAGTGCCAAATGGAATTCGATGCTAATAATCGGAGTTTTTCAGCAAATTTTTCGTATGTACATAAAATAGTATGCCAATTTTTATACTCTCGCAACCTGTTGCTACAGAGTATAATAGTTTTGTTCACCTAACGGTTGTTTGTATCACCTAAAACTAATCGAGTTACGAGATAAGGTTATATATAAATGATCAGGATGAAGAGCGAGTTGAAATCGGGTGACTGTCTGTCCGTCCGTCTCTGTCCGTCCATTCAAGCTCAACTGAGTAAAATTGAGATATCTTATGAAACTTAATGAACATGTTTCTTGGTATCATTGAGACGTTGTATTGCAGATGGGCGTATCGAGACTACCGCAACAAAACCGTGTCAAAACAAATAAATTGCCATAACTAAGCTCCGAAGTAAGATACAAGATTGTTATTTGGTACACAGGATCATTAGGAGGGGCATCTGTATTTAAATTTGTTTTAAAGTGGGCGTGCTCCGCTATAGGTTTAATGTGCATATCTCTAACCGCTAACATATAATAATAAAATTACTGGAAGCGAATTTTTGCACTTCTATTGACGGTTGAAAATAGTTGAAATCAATGGTGGCAACTCCGACCACTCCCCATATACTACACTGTCTGAAACGCTACTAAAAGCACGATTAATCACATCTCATGAGACAACCATTTTATCCTGGGATGGTATAGAATGATTTGAGAACGCATTAAGGACGTGTGCTGGTTCATAACCATATGATCAGCAATCGCAAATGTCGACACCACTTTATAGGTTAAACATGTACTCGTGCGAGATCTGTATGCAATTCACGCTATTTCTTTTTATAACTCATATCTAGTTAAGCGGACTAAACCTTTTCAATACACCATTTATCATTTGATTCTTTCATTTCCACTATGCCATATCGAGCACAATGATTATATGGATAAACTTGTGAATAATAATAAGTTTGAGTATGCTGCACTTGTGGGCAAAATTATCTAACAAACATGATGTTTGGCCTAATGTATAAATATCAAGGACCAGTGCCTAGGTTGATTCTACCGAAATATCAGCCAATCCACAAAAATCTCAAGCAAGGTATACCTGATTTGCGACAGTTAAAATGTTCGGTTACATCCGAACTTTGCCTTCACTGCTTGTCAATTTAAATGTATGTTTCGTGATCTATTACAGAAATCTTATAATCAACGACATCAAACGCTCCGAGAAAGGGTTCGAAATATTGTTAGCAGCGACGGCAAATACGCTTTGCTCTTTTACACAATACCACTGTATATGGGATATGCGATTAATGTAGTTAATACATAATTACTACTATATATACATGAAGGTATCTAAGCAGCCAAAAATTTTATTTTGAGATGTCGAATTTTCAGACATTACTAAACTTTGCCA